AAAGGAACACAAGGAGTTAGATTAATAACATGTACCGCTGTATTCAAAGCTTCTCCCCAGAATGAATTTGGCAGCCCTGCATGTGACAACAAACATCTGACACGCTCCATCAAAGTTCTGTTCATCCGCTCTGCTAATCCGTTCAACTGCGGTGTCTTGGGAGGACTCTTTTGATGTCGAATACCATGGTCTCTACAATAAGCATCAAAGGGGTCAATGTATTCCCCTCCATTATCTGTCCGAATACACTTGAGCTTCTTTCCAGTCTGTCTCTCAACCGAGGCATGAAACTGCTTAAACACCTCAAATACTTGATCTTTAGATTTCAAGGTATAGACCCATACCTTTCTGGAGTGATCATCAATGAATGTGACAAAGTAGGAGCAGCCACCAAGTGTCCTAGTCTTCATAGGACCACAAACATCAGAATGCACCAGATCAAGTATACTCTCCTTCCTGGAAGGAGGATGGCTCTTAAAGGAAACCCTGTTCTGTTTACCTGCCAGACAGTGAGAACACTTCTTTAAATAAATATCATGCACACCCGGTAACACATTTCTCTTCAACAAAAGAGACATTCCCTTTTCACTCATGTGACCAAGTCTCTTATGCCATAAATCAGTCATGTCAGTATTCACCACAACATTGACCTTATCCTTGAAGATCTTCGGATGTGTCATGTACAACTTTGAGCATCTTTTACCTCTAGCCACGATCAAAGAACCACGAGTGAGTTTCCATATTCCATTACCAAAGTTGTTGCTGTAACCATCATCATCAAGTAAGCCTGCAGAGATCAAATTAAGTCTCATATCTGGAACATGTTTTACATTATGTAAAACCAACTCTATCCCAGTGTCAAACTTCAAACAAATATCTCCGATGCCTGCAATCTTTGATAGTCCATTATTACCCATCCTAACATTACCAAAGTTACCTGGAGTGTAAGATGAATAAAAATCCCTCTGTGATGTTACATGACACGTAGCACCACTATCAACAACCCAACTGGAATCATCATGTGTAATGTTGACCATATCAAGATCAGAACAAATAAGGATCGGAACTCATCGGTAGTAGACACTAGTAGTGTTAACTTCAACATTGCCATTACCACCCTCATCTTTCTTATGGTTCTTTTGATTGTTGTAATCGCTCTTCTTCTTCTCCTTTTTCAATTGCCTGCAGAACCGTATTGTGTGGCCTTTTCTACCACAATGATAGCACTCAAAATCAGCAAACTTTCCTTTGGATTTACTTCGATGTTTCCCTTTGTTACCTGGACCTCTACTCTGACTTCTCCCCCTGCTTTCTGTAACTAAGACATCAGAATGTGAAGAGGAACCTTGTGACTTTCTTCTCATCTCTTCATTTAAAACACTGCCTTTAGCTAATTCCATGGTGATAATACCATCTGGTGCAGAGTTGGACAATGATGTCCTAAAAGTCTCCCATGAGTCCGGTAAAGTGCCAAGGAGCCACAAGCCTTGTATCTCATCTTCAAACTTGATACCCATTCCTGCAAGTTGATTTATGATTCCCTGAAAAGAATTCAAATGATCAGTGACAGGAGTTCCATCATGGTATTTCAAGCTCATCATCTGTTTTATTAAGAACAATTTATTGTTCCCGGTCTTTCGAGCATACAACTGTTCAAGCTTGTTCCACAAACTGCGAGCATGAGTTTCCCCGCTAATATGGTTCAAAACATTATCATCAACCCATTGGCGAATATACCCACAAACCTGTCTATGCAAAATATTCCACTCTGCATCTGTTTTACTCTCAGGCTTATCAGTAGTAAACACAGGCAAATAATAATCCTTCACATAAAGTAGGTCTTCCATTTTGCCTTTCCAAACATGATAATTAGAACCATTCAAATTGATCATCCTACTTGTGTTTGCTTCCATCATTCAAACAAGTTTAACCCGATATAGAAGAACTCGGCTCTGATACCAATTTGATGGGAAAAACAGCCACAAACGGAACTAATAAAATGCGGAATTAATCTCCGTTTGGCTAAACTTTCCCCAACTTGAATGAACCTTTGAGGATGCAAACAAATAGGGTGTTCTTAATGCAATTAGAACACACACAATGTTGCTGCCACGCACCAATATATTCAGCTAAAACAGTAAGCACACACCACACACAAACACCAGAATTTTAGCGTGGAAAACCCGTTAACTAGGGAAAAACCACGGGACCATTTTGGCCACTTAAATCCACTATCATCATCAAAGGAGCAGTACAAAGTCTTCTCTAGATAATACTAGAGGCATACAAAATCATCATATCCTTAAAAGTAAGAACATCAAGGTGTATGGAATCAAATAGAGCCAAGATAAGAAAAATATCACCAGAAAAATAGCTACTGTCCAGACCAACGAAACCCAACCTCCGGACCTCAAAACCTGATCTCCACCGTCCAGAATGTTGGACCAGATGCTGTGAAGCTGCTGTCCAAAAATCACGATGATCCAACGGTTCAATCTCCGGGAAACGGAAGTTTTCTGTTGCTGCCTGCTGGAAAAACGGGATGAGCACACTCAGCTCATGTTTACGACTTATGCTCTCTTTTCTGCTGCTCTCTTTCTGTCCATCGAATGTAAGATAGTCAAAGAAGACTTTTAATGGGCTCAAAACTTGGGCTTTCCTCATGGGTCAAAAACAAAGAAAAAACCCAACACTTCTTACTTTCTAAAGTATACAATTATAAAATACTTTCTAAAGTATGCAAATTTGACTTTTCTTGGTCAAATAGTTTCATTTTGTTCTTTTAATCAAGATGTCAATTATTAATTATATTTTAATTTGGAGTTTGCAACTTTGAAGAGATTTTAATGCAGTTTCTGAATATATAAATTTTAATTATTAAAAATTAAACTAATTATCAATACAGAGCATCGACTTTTATTATTGATTGACCAAAAAATGTTGACTTTCCAAACCTAGGACGGAGTACATAACATAACTACATCCGTCATTTATTTTTATCATATCAAACTTTAATACAATATTACTTGCGTTATCGAAAGAGGGAGAATGCTTAACAGGTGATATTTTACTCGTATATATATCTTTTTCTGAGTCATAAACAATCTCGAATACCATTTTAAAAAATCGAATAAGAATGTTGAATTGTTCAAATATTAACACTGTTGACCAAAAAAGGTCTAACATGTTAAACTTTATTGGACGAAGGAACATTATTTTGTGAGGTAAAGTAGACATGATTGGTTCGGTGCAATATAAATTATTATTACTCCGTATAATAAAAAATACTACCCCTCCATATTTAAAAGTTCTCTCCACTTTTCTTTTTGGGATATATTTAAAAGTTCTCTACACTTCCTTTTTTGGTAAGTTTATCATTTATTAAATACTCAACTACCCCTACTTTATCTACTTTTTATCTTCTCTTTCATACTTTTACACACTCTCTCCTACTTTTTCTACACTATTCACTACACTTATTATTTTATCCTAAAATATTGTGTCAAAAGCAAATGTAGGGAACATATAAATACGAAGGGAGTACTCTCTATTGACTAATTTTGTTGGACATTATCGGTTAGATGTGAAATAAGAAAAGTAAAATTTATGTGGTTTAAAGTTATACAAAGGAGATAGAAATACGTAGAATCACTGGTTATTTACTTTAAAGGAAATTGGTAGAGCTTTTAGACAAATAAAAAAAAGAATAGATATAAAGTCTAATACTAGTTCAATCCCTTAAAACTTTGTGAGCTTTACCTTTTTTGTTGTCCCACTATGACACTTTACCTTTACGTAAAGAATTTATGGTTCTAGTTAATTCTCTCTCCTCTATACAAACTTGAACCACATAGTATTTTCTTTATAATTCTTATGCCGATCAAACTTGATAAAATTTTAAGGGACGAACAAATATGATAAAGGGAGAGGAAAAGAAGATGGGGGAGGAACAGAGATGGCAAGCTTGGACGTAGATGGATGACCACAACAGGGGACAAATAATGCTCATAATGGAGCTAAGGTGGACCAGAAGCGTAGACGTGTAGACCATGGTGAACAAGAGGCAGCACGAAAGGATATGGACGTGGAGACAGGCATACCAAAAAATGGGGAGGGGGCGGGCTACAACGCTCGCCTGTCAGGCAATTAGAAGATGAGATGGGAGATGCACAAGGGATAGAAGCTTACAAATTCCATCACCTGTAACTTTATTTTTGTTGCTTTGTTTTTATTTTTCAGAACTCGGTTGTTTTGTTGCTTTTTTATTTTTACTTACAATAAGGGTGGGGAGGTTGTGGAGAGTTGGTTTCTTAGTAGGTTTTTTAGTGATGGGGGCAATCAGGCTGCTACAGCCGCTAATAGCCTCTTAGCTCTCACCGCTTCAAAGATTAGTCTCACTCTTTTTGGTGTGGACTATTCCATGTCTGGGCATGACGTTATAGGGGTGATTGGCTTTTGGTATTGTGGATCTAGTGGGAGTTGTTGGTTTGAGGTCTTGTTTGATGTACTTGTTCATTTGATTCTAATATAAGCAGTTTCCTTTCAAAAAATTATGATAAAGGAGTATAATTTTTGTATTGGGCAATTGTAAATATTTGTGATACTATGTCAAAAAGTGGTCAAAGAAAAACAAAGCATTGAAAAATGTGAATGTCACATAATCAAGTACATTTGAGAAACTGATGGTGTATTATATTCCCCCTCCATTTTTTATTTGACATCTACCAGAGCATTTCTTAATTACGGAGTATTTATTACACGCCGAGATTTTTAGTTTTTTACCATATTTTTTCGAGTTTTATTTTACCTTTTGTCTTTCTATTTTCTACCTTTCCCCACTTTTCTTCTTATGGTAAAAAGACGCAAGTACTACCTACAGGCTACAGGCATGAGGCATGCACCATTTAAGTACTCCGTGTTATTTTTTTAAAGAACTTTTTCTCTTAAAAAGCAATAAAATGTAATCTAGGAGCAAACAAAAAAATAAAAAATACTCCGTATAAAACATGGAAAAAGCGAACTTGCAATTTCATTATGGAAATGTTTGAAGTAATTTACAAGTAAACCAGAGATTGTCAATTTTACACAAGCGTTATGTACCTCAAATAAATTTATCATTATATCTCCCCTCACTCAATGAACTTGCATATTAAGTAATGCAACACAAATGATAATTTGATAGTATAGTAGGACATCTGGTAACACAACTGCACTTTTCTCTTTCAGTATTAAATTAAAGAGGGGCATGACTTGGTGAAATATGGATAATCATCATCTTCTTAACAACTTAAGCAGCAATCTTGCTCTAATCTTGATCCTCCCAGAACACTGGCTTTGAAGGAGCAACAGAACTTGTGTCAAAACTCCATTGCATATGGCTCTTTCTCTGGCCTTGAATGAATCCTCACAGAGTATAACCAAACAACTCACAGCTGACTCACTCCCTCCATGATCTGATACTCTGAACACCATCTTCACCATTGCTTTCACTCCATTCGGGTTTTCGAGAACCGCTTCTTTCCCGGTCTTTGTCTCTATAAGCAACTCAATGGCTCTCATCGCCATCGGTGCCGAGCTTGTTTTGCACTTCTGGGCATTCTCAAGAACGCATTTTATGAGTGAATCTATTGCTCCTTCTCTCACCATTGCCTCCCTGATCTGTTCCAGACAGGACAGAGCTAAAACGGCTTTCGTGGCTGAGGATGAGGCTTCAGAGCAGGCATTGATAGTGTCATTCAGCTGTCTGAGAAGCCGACCAGATTTTCCCAGAAGAGAACATAGCTTTCTTGTCTCTGGGGATGAAGAAGAAGCCATGGCCTCCATCAAATTGCAGAGGCTTTTCTTGATAACAGAGCTGCCAAGTTCAAACAAGGTTTGAAAGCTGGTAATTTTGGATTCTTGATTTGCCAGCATGTTCATAGGCTCTAATCCAGAGAAGGGTAGTAGCTTTAATGCACAAACTAGTCCTAGCTCTGCAAATCTCATGCTGGTTATCATTTCTGAATTCACTGATGACCCGAAAACCAGATCAAGAATCACATTGATAAAATCTAATTGCACCAAAGCAGTGTTCTTCAACGGCAGATCCTCTGCTAAAACAATAATTTCCTCCAGCATTTCAACCTGTAAATGAATATTTTAAGATTTACAATTCAATCTTATAAGGAAATCTTTAATGTTCGTGTCTTTATTATAGTTGGATGACTTAACATATTCATACAATCTGCAAACTTAAGTTCTTTTTAGTCTTATGTATTAATTACACACAGTCTACAAAGACTAAACAATTCAAAATTTGGTTCTAATAGTTCAGTTTATTTCTAGTCTCCTTACAACAATTTCACCATTCACTTTGTCAACAATAATTGGACATCCACTTTGTCAGGGACAGTTCGACAATTGTTTAATTGCTTATGATATTATTAGTCTACGTGCTTACTCCTATTTTCAACAATTTCTTTAATACTTCCACCTTCCACAAAGCTTCATCTTTGACTTTAACATTCTTGGTGATGCTCAAGTATGACCAATACTAGTTGAATACAAAGTTATCTTTAATATGAAGACGACAAAAATAAACTTATACTCTTACACAATATATTACGTTTTGTGGGAGGGATGGAGCAATATGATTCTGATAGATTGATTATTTGCTAAGCAATACTCTAGAAATGGTGGGTTATACCAATAAGTTTAGAAAGATTGGATTATTCTTAAAGATAGATTATTATAAGCAGATAATAAAAATTGGATTATATGAAGTGTTAAGGCGTAAAAACTTCTATCATTACCTTATGGTCCAAGGGGATGGACAGGGACCGGAGATTGAGCAGCAATGAGTGACCATCGAACTCTCTTGCTGATGAGTTAGGCGCAGTCTTGTTTTTGACCATTTCAAGATCGGTGAGAGAGACATGGTGGAGCCAGTCCTGAATCAAGTGGCGGAGAGTGTGGTTAGGGACAAAGGAAGGGTCATGGAGCTTCTGCATTGTGATGGGGCAAGTGGATTTGCCAGAGGCCAGCCATTTCTCAATGCTGGACCTGTCATAGGTCTGGCCAGTGCACAGGGTCACTGGATCCCTAAGCAAATCCAAGCTTATTGGGCACCTAAACAATGGAGGAACCTCTACTTCCATCTTCCCCTCCAATGCTTCTTCCTTCATGGAAAACCAAATCTAAGGAATGGGTATAAAATAAAGTGGGATTTAGGTTTGGGTTTGTTAGATTCTTCCAAAAGGGTACCCTTGAGCATATATTATTGAGTTTGGCAAAGAGCACATGGATAGTGGTTGGGTGGGTGGGGGGAAGGGCACAAGTGATATGAACCAATGAGAAGAAAATGGAAGCAAGAAAGATTTCTTATGTACAGGACAGGAAAACATGAGAGTGTGTAGTAGGAGGGCCTAGCTGGCTTATCCTTTCATGGTGATGAAGACTGAAGATTTGATGAGTGGCAAACCTGTAAATAAGAGGGGAATTGAATGATGATAAATGTTTATGGAGGGAGGGAGTGGGGCCTACTGATCTCTTTCACCCGTTATATTTGTCCACTACGGATGGTCAAAAGTGGCCCACCCTTTCCTTAATGTTCAACATCAATCTTTGAATACCATTATTATTGTTATACTCCGTACCTTGAACGATCGAAGTGGACATCTCTCCCCACTAAAAGATGTTTTTTTTTAATAATACGGATTAGGATGTTTTTACTTTTGGATTGTAATTTGATGATCTCGTTTGGTCTGATTTTTTTGTATTTTTATAACTATCCAAGTCTGATTTGGTCTGAGACAAATTACAGTCCAAGTAAAAACATCTTTAGTATTACTTTAAAAATACTCATATAATTTTAGTATAGCACGGGGACCTTCTTTAATTTTAGTAGTAGATTTTAAAAATACTCATACAAGGTCTATTATTTATTACCATGTATGAAATTGTTTGCTTTTTAAATATTATCGAAATTAAAGTTATTTTTTTGTTCTTTTAAAATTTCTCTCTCTAGGGCGTTCGCCGCTAGGGTTGCATATCTCCACTATCGGGTCTCACCGAGGAGCGGCCGCCGTTCTAGGTGGGTTTGTTGGTTGGCGTTAGAGGTGAGATCGTTGTTGGTTCGTCTTGGACGAATGAAGGTCATTGTCAAGTAGTGTGGTTCTTCTTGGGCGAGTAGGGGTTGAACGGGTTGTCGCATCAATCGTCTTCGGTGGCGATAGGACAAGTTTTGGTTCTTCTTCGGCAATCTCCTGCGAAGGGGCTGCACGAGGCTTCTGTTTCTTCTTCAGCAACTTCCATCGACGGAAGCCAGATTCGTGCGTAGCAGGAGATATTAATTGATGGAAGATTCTGTTAATCATTATAAGAAAATGGCAATTGGAGAGGATAAGGAGGAGCTGATTTTCGATGATTGGGAAGAGGAGGAGAAGTCGACAAACGAGGGCAAAGTAATTTTCCCGATCGTAGGCATGATTCGTATGGATCAGAAGGTCAAATTCCAGTTTTTCAAAGAATTAATGACATCTTTATTGAGACTGGTCAAAGGGGTTTCTATCAAAGAAATGGGTGATAATAGGTACTTCGTATATCTTTACTTTTTATCATATTCTAGATATGAGACATGTTTTAGATGAAGGCTCGTGGTTATTTGAGAGAAATCGTTTACTTTTGAAAGCAATAAAGGCAGAGGTTATTCCTTCACAGATTAGTCTTTATGAGACTGATTTTTGGGTACAAGTCCATAACGTAACATATGGTTTTATGAATTTGGGCTCAGCTAAGTGTATTGGTAATTATATTGGAAAATATATCCCTTATGATGAACGTGGGTCTGATGAAAATTGGGAGATATATATGAGAATTAGGGTCCGTATGGATGTTAGGAGACCTGTGAAAAAAGGAACTAATTCGAAAAGGGTGGGGTTTAGCCAATGGGTGGATTTTAAGTACAAGAAACTCCCTAATTTTTGCTTTGAGTGTGGAAATTATTGGGCATTCCGATAAATTTTGCCCAGTTGTGTATGAGGGAGAGAATATCACTTTTGATAAAAAAAAAATTATGGCGTAGACCTTAGAGCCGGGGGAGGGGTGAAGACTAGCCTGACAAGAGAAATAAGTGGTTGATTGAAGGGTCATCCAGTACTGGTATGGGGGATTCAGATAGATCAGACAGGACTGGAAGGAAATTATTACAGGCTTAGGGACTAGTGCCATCAAGGGATTTCGGTTAGTTCAGAGGAAGGGTCAGAAGAGCAGAAGCGCAGAAAAACATGGGACGAGAACGAGCAGAAAAACCCAACAGAGGAAGATATGGCACTAGATAGGCAAAAAACGGGGAGGAGGCGGACCTCAACCTCTAGGTCCGCCATTTTGCTCAAGGATGCAGATGTTTTCGATTGGCGAACCTGTGAAGGTGTTCGTGGGAATGGAGAGGAACGTTTATTCTACTGCTTTTATCTTTGTTGTCTTATTTAATCACACTGTTTTAAGCTTTGTTTCTGTTATTTTTTATTGTAAGACTCTTGCATTAAGATGAGGTGAGTTTAGATCTACTTCAATCGACTGTGGCTCAGGTTTGCCCTTAATGGATCATTGAGTTATATTGCTTGTTTGAAGGTGATTAACTCCAAGTTTGTTTCAAGAGCTGACGGTTGTCTGTGATCTTTTACTTAGTTTACTCCCTTTCCGAATGCTAATGCTTTGATTTCAATATAAACCCCCCTTTAAAAAAAATATTATTGAAATTAAATAGACAAGAATGTATGTGATCCTTGTGTCTGAAGTGTGATAAACCCAAGTATATTTGTTATTATTCGTAAATAAATATTGCTCAAGTAAAAGATATGAACAAAACTCTGATAAACCCACACATTTTTAAGGAAAATAAAAGGTAGGTAGCATATTTAAAACCATTTTGTTTCTGTAAGAGAATTGTTTTAGTAATATGATACCTTTTATTTTCCCCTAAAAATATGTGAATTATTATAAACTATTACTCAAATACAATTTATATTAGATATTTAGAGTTACTATAAGCAAAATGTCACTATAATTACAGTGAAAAAATGTAAACAGTTATAGTCACTTAAAACACACCATTAAATTCGACACGTATACAAGTATGAATAATTAAAGATGTATTTATTTGGACAATTTTCCATCTCAGACGAGACTTAAATGAATTAGACCATGTCAGATTAGACTTTCATGGTTATAAAATACACAGAGATCATACATTCTCCGGACTAGACCATACTAGTTTAGATAAGATTAGATTAGACCAAAATTAAACATATCATATCAGATCAGACCGATAAATTTCAGTTCCAGTAAAAATATTCTAAATAATATTACGAAGTACGTATTAAAGAACACGACGCACGTTTTATTTCGATCTACTCTCATTAGTTTCTTTTGTGTGGAAAACAACTTGTATTGAATTATAAATACGATAGTACTACGTAATCAATAAGAATTCTGTGTTGTAACAAAAAAACAAGAAATTGTACGTATAGAACGCATACAATTGCTCAAACATGCTCAAATTTACTCAAATTAAAGGGTTTCGTTTGGTTTGGTTTGATTTGGTTCTAAACCGAAAAATCATAAACCAAATTGCATGATTTTTAATATTTATTAAAATACTTTGTACACATAGAACACATACAATTGCTCAAACAATGATCAAATTTACTCAAACCAAAAGGTTTAGTTTTGTTTGATTTGGTTTGATTCTAAACCGAAAAATTGTAAACCAAACTGAATGATATTTAATACTTCGTGTTTATTAAAATACTTTGTATTCGTCTTTACTTTTCATCTTGAGGATATTTATGATTATAGTATTTAATACTCTTTAATAAAAGATGTAAAGCAATGACAATAAACATTGCATTTATATCAACTTCAATGAAAAGTCATTTAATTTGGTTTACGATTTTTCAATTTAAAATCAAACAATACGGTTTATTTCCGTGAACAAGCATGTTTGGGCAAACAAGCAGCAATACGTAGAGGTCATTTTTGCATCCACCAGCCGACCTACAAGATCATACGTAGTACCAGGAACATGATCTTGCGTTGACACCCACCTCATGGTCATGATGTACCACGAACACGCCAAACGGGTCCCCATTTGATGAAGGCCGGGCCTCACTTCCTATTTTAATCCACAAGCTATGCCCTAGCTTTAGGCAAACAAAATTGGTACATGAAACACTTTAATTTAGCTGAGCATGTTTGCAAGTTAAGTACGATTTAGAGGGGAGAGGAAAGGTGAAGGTGATTTATGACTGCATTTTTTGTTTGGGAGTTCAAAAGAATAGATGAGATGATTTTGAAGTCTTCTTATCGTAACCTCCCAAATCATTCAAATCGTTAATCTTTAAACCCCAACAAATTAGAAGTTTTGAAGCATAAGTAATTAAAAGAGAATTTTAACCTAATTTATAATGAATATAAGTTCAACTAACATTGAAACATGAGGATGTAGCTTTGTTATTAAGAAAAATAGGTTTATGTGGTTGCTATTGAATTGATAAAAGTACAAATAAAGAATGATTCAGAACAACACTAACTTTACCAAATTTGGTATGAGACCATCTTATTGGCACAGTTACGTTATGACTCGGACACTCGGTTCATGGATGTCCGCTTCATTATCTACTCATTTATTTTTTAGTTGTATTTTGATTCGATTTGTTCCTCACTACAAAAAAAAACGGACTTAGTCACGGACCCTAGTATAAAAAATCTGTGACTAACTCTACTAGTCACGGAAAAAATCCGTGACTAAATCCGTGACTGTTCGGGCGTGACAAATTCTAGTCACAACCGTTTTTCCGTGACTAAGCGTAGTCACGGATTAGTCACGGACCCGATCCGTGCCTACTTTGTGACCGGAATAACCACACCGGCGACTTAGTCACGGCCTCTATCCGTGACTAATATTTTTTTTAAATTCAAACATATTAGTCACGGACCTATTCCGTGACTAAGTTTTCAAATTTTGAATAAATCGCCAAATATTAGGGTGTAAATTTCCAAAATTTAAAATTTTGTCACTGCTTAAATCCGTGACTATATTTTTTATTTTTTTTAAAAAAAAACATTTTTAAAATTTTAAAATAATTTAAAAAAAAACCCGGTCTACAATTTAGTCACGGCTTAGATCCGTGACTAAATTTTTTTATTTTTTTACAAAAAGTTTTTTTTGTTTTAAAACAAAAATTAAAAAATATTTTTCAAATTTTCTTTAGAAAAGTTTATTTTAAAAAAATAATTGTAGAATTAACAGATTAGAATAAAAGTAATAAACAGACCAGAATACACATTTTATCCCCCAAACAGACTGGAATAAAAGTAATAATAAACAGACTAGAATTATAGTATAAATAAACAATGTTCAATTAAAAATGTATATCATTTACAAGCTCCTTCGGCCACCATTATGATAATATC